GGTATTTTATCTGGTATTATCCGAGTAGCTGAGTTCACAACCTGGATATCCGACTATCTGTGGATAACTCAGGTAATACTCTATCTGGGTACCATCACTAATTGAATATAATAAAATGATCTGATTAGAGGAATAAAATTAAACCTACTAAGTTACTTGTCTGAAATAAACCTAAATTCAACATATCAAACTAATATCTTTGTTGGAATAATTCAACTTTGACCGGTTGATATTTTATATATAATAACACCAAAACCATATAGATCGGCTACTGAAATCTCTGCTGTAAAACTCTATATACACCAGAATTTTTATTAGCATATTGAGCATAATAAAATAATCTGATTAAAGAAATAAAATTAAATCTACTAAGTAACTCAGCTGGAATAAACCTAAATTCAATATATCAAAATAAAGTCTTTGACTGGTTGATATTTTAGACATGATGACTCCAAAACTGTATATGTCAGCTACTGAAACCTTTGTTGCAAGACTGCATATATACCAGAATTTTTATCAGTGTATTGAATATAATAAAAATAATTTAATTAGAGAAATAAAATTAAGTTACTCGACTAGAATAAACCTAAATTCAACATATCAAAATAAAGTTCTTGTTGGAATAATTTAACTTCCTTTGACCGGTTGATATTTCAGACATAATGACTCCAAAACTGTATATATCAGCTATTGAAACCTTTGTTGCAAGACTCCATATATACTAGAATTTTTATCAGCATATTGAATATAATAAAAATAATTTGATTAGAGAAATAAAATTAAGTTACTTGGCTAAAATAAATCTAAATTCAACATATCAAAATAAAGTCTCTGTTGGAATAATTCAACTTCCTTTGACCAGTTGATATTTTAGACATAATGACTTCAAAACTGTATATATTAGCTACTAAAACCTCTGTTGCAAGACTTTATATATACCAAAATTTTTATTAGCATATTGAACATAATAAAATAGTCTGATTAGAAAAATAAAATTAAACCTACTAAGTGACTTAGCTGGAATAAACCTAATTTAATATATCAAAATAATGTTCTTGTTGGAATAATTCAACTTTTTTTGACCAGTTGATATTTTATATATGATGACTCCAAAACCATATATATTGTTGCTGAAACCTCTGTTGTAAGACTTTATAAACACCAGAATTTTTATTAGCATATTGAACATAATAAAAATAATTCAATTAGAGAAATAAAATTGAATTTACCAAGTAACTTAGCTAGAATAAACCTAAATCTAATATATCAAAATAATGTTCTTGTTGAAATAATTCAACTTTCTTTGACAGGTTGACATTTCATACATAATAACTCCAAAACTGTATAGATCAGCTACTGAAACCTCTGTTGCAAGACTCTATATATACCAGAATTTTTATTAGCATATTAAACATAATAAAAATAATTCGATTAGAGGAATAAAATTGAATCTACCAAGTAACTTAGCTTATCCCTGTTGGAATAATTTAACTTCCTTTGACCAGTTGATATTTTAGATATGATAGCTCTAAACTCATATATATTATTGCTAAAATCTCTATTGCAAGACTCTATAAATATTAGAATTTTTATCAGTATATTGAACATAATAAAATAATCCAATTAGAGAAATAAAATTAAACTTACCAAGTGATTCGGCTAGAATAAACCTATATTCAATATATCAAAATGGCATCTCTGTTGAAATAATTCAACTTTAACCAGTTGATATTTCATATATGATAACTCCAAAACTGTATAGATCAGCTACTAAAACCTCTATTGCAAGACTTCATATACACCAGAATTTTTATTAGCATATTGAACATAATAAAAATAATTCAATTAGAGGAATAAAATTGAATTTATCAAGTAACTCAGCTAGAATAAACCTAAATTTAACATATCAAAATAATATTCTTGTTGGAATAATTCACTTTCTTTGACAGATTGACATTTCATACATGATAACTCCAAAACTGTATAGATCAGCTACTGAAACCTCTGTTGCAAGGCTCTATATATACCAGAATTTTTATTAGTATATTGAATATAATAAAAATAATTCGATTAGAGGAATAAAATTGAATCTACTAAGTAACTTAGCTTATCCCTGTTGGAATAATTCAACTTCCTTTGACCAGTTGACATTTTAGACATGATAGCTCTAAACTCATATATATTATTGCTGAAACCTCTATTGCAAGACTTCATAAATATCAGAATTTTTATCAGTATATTGAATATAATAAAATAATCCAATTAGAGAAATAAAATTAAACCTACCAAGTGATTCGGCTGGAATAAACCTATATTCAACATATCAAAATGGCATCTTTGTTGGAATAATTCAACTTTAACCAGTTGATATTTCATATATGATAACTTCAAAACTGTATAGATCAGCTACTAAAATCTCTGTTGCAAGATTTCATATATAGCAGAATTTTTATTAGCATATTAAACATAATAAAAATAATTCAATTAGAGGAATAAAATTAAACCTACTAAGTTACTTGGCTGGAATAAATCTAAATTCAATATATCAAAATAAAGTCCCTGTTGGAATAATTCAACTTTGACCAGTTAATATTATATATATAATGACTCCAAAACTGTATATATCGGCTACTAAAACCTCTGTTGCAAGACTTCATATATACTAGAATTTTTATTAGTATATTGAACATAATAAAAATAATTTGATTAGAGAAATAAAATTGAACCTACCAAGTGACTCAGCTTATTCCTGTTGGAATAATTCAACTTCCTTTGACCAGTTGATATTTTATACATACTAACTCCAAAACTGTATAGATCGGCTACTGAAACCTCTGCTACAAGACTCTATATATACCAGAATTTTTATCAGCGTATTGAATATAATAAAATGATTAAATTAGAGAAATAAAATAGAACCTACCAAGTGACTCGGCTAGAATAATCAAATTAAATCTAATTTGATATACCAAGTGAATCGGCTAGAATAATTAAATTAGATTCATCCAGATCATTTTGGTATATTGAATTAGGATAGTCAAATTAAACCTAATTCAACATACCAAAATGACCTGGCTAGAATATTGAATCTAATTCATACTTTTTGTTTATCTTTTTTGACTCCAATTCCATATTCATAACATAATTCAATATTAAATATTTCTGTAGTATTACTAATATCAGCAGCTTTTTGATAGTCTTTGAATGTTATTTGTACTTTTTGATCTTTACTATTGGTCTTTACTCACTTGGCTAATATATTCGATAACCGTGTTTCATACAAGTCCTTCTACCGACGATATATACACAGATTCCAAAATGATCTAGCTAGACTAAGAATGTTGAGTATATTAACATAACTTAGCTGTAATATAAAGTCAAAGCAACCTTACTTAAATAAAAAGACGACAAAATATCAAGAAATTTTATATAAATGTCAGATTTTATTTTTACAAAAATGAGTTAATGTTCTGGAAGATAAAAACATTTATTATAAAAATTTACCATATTTTTTATATTGATATGTAAGTTAAAGAGTTTTGTTATCTATACTATCGAATTTATTTCTGTATTTATATATCAATCCAGTTTATTAGACCCAATCTGATTCCATAGTTCAGATCAGATAATAATCTGAATCCATCAGATTCAGATTTTTCGAAACACTAATTGCAGATAAATATTTAGGTTACCAATTAGGTTCTTTAGATGTCTGAGTTTTTATTCTTAGCACTAGGCTTAAAATTTAAAACCTTTTTCAATTATATAAAAAGTTTTTATTAAGTTTAATAAAGATAAGAGCAAGGTTTCATCTTAAATATTTAAAAATAAAATAAAATAAAATAAAATAAAAATTATTGTCGCAGCTGATGATGAAAATGGCTGATGCTAAAATTTCGATTATTTTATTATTAAATTTTTAAAAATTTTTTGGGCCTTTTTGTTAGGGGTTTTTTTATAGGGTTAGGTTAGGGTTAGGGGTAGTTTTATTAGTAAAAAAGTATATGTGAATTTTAGTAGATATTATAGATTTAAAAAAGGACCCCAGATTTCAGCATCAGCCGTTTTTAGCATCAGCTGCGACAATTATTACTAGTGTTGCTATATCTCAAAAACATATTAAATAAACAGGATCAGATACTCTAAATAAAAATATTTAGAACTCCCAAAAACCTTATAAAAACTGAAATCAAAACCTTATATTGGCTTTATATTATATAAAAAAAATAATTCTCTAATTTCTAACCCTAACTCTAACAAATCTTAGAACTAGTAATAATCACCACTTATAATATGTAGTAATTTTCTATTTATATTAATAAAAGTAAATTAATTTGCTTGCTTATACAAAATTTTTTAATATAAAACTTTTCTTTATTTTAATAAAAAAAATAATTTGGTTTAATTTTTTTTGTATTATAACTTGTTTAAAAATTTGTAATTATAAAAAAACAAATTAAACAAGTTATTATATTGATTACTTTCTATATTTTGTATTGCTAATATTGTTAATAACAGTTTGTTATAAGATAACAAAGTTTTTAAACCTATTCTTCTTTTTTTTTATTTTGTAGTTATGTAATATATATGTTGTATCTTTATAGTTAAAACACTAAGTTTTTTTAGCTAAATTATTTAAACTCTCTTATTTAAATTTGGTTTGATTTCTTAAATTTATACATCTAATAATTTTATATACAGTATTATAAATTTGTATTAACTTTAATACTAACTTTATTTTCGTAAATACTTCAAAATTGTTAAATTTTATTAACATGATTAAAATTATAAATATTCAAATTAATAAAAAAACTATATATTATTACACAAGATAAAATTTTTAAAAATGGCAATTTTTATTTTTATATAAATTTAATTATTACATTATTTTACTGTTCTTTGCTACCTTTATCATTATTCTCTTCTGTAGAGTCTGGTTGCGGATTTTCTGCACTTCGCTAATTAAAGAAGAAAAAAAAATTATATAAAATTAATAACTTTCATGAAATCTTATAACCGAATATAACTACAAATCTTACCTTCTTATAAGCCAATTCAAACAGCTTCAGGCTACCAGTTTGCAATTCAGAAATCTTAGCATTAATATCCTCTGCTTTAACATCTTCACCGCCTTGCGCTTTAGTCGTCAATTCACGCAATGACTGAATCTGTGAATTGATATTTTCAGCTTCCGATGAATCTAATTGATCTTTGAATTCGGTCATACTCTTCTCTATATCGCTAATCACGGAGTCAGCACGATTAAGTGCTTCAATAGATTCTTTCTTTTCACGATCTGCATCAGCATAACGTTCAGCTTCATGAATCATATTTTCAATCTCATCCTTGTTCAAACCAGATTGCGCAGTAATAGTGACTGATTAAAAATACAAAAAATCAATATAAAATATGTAAATTATTATACAATATAATGAGTACCGAAATCACTTACTGGATTGATCTTTTGCAGTTGCCTTGTCTTGCGCACTAACATTTACAATACCATCGGCATCGATATCAAATGTAACTTCGATTTGAGGAACACCTTTAGGTAAAGGTGGAATTCCTTCCAATTGGAAGTTACCAAGTAATTTGTTACCACTAACTAATTCCCTTTCACCTTGGTATACCTTAATTTCAACTTTTGTCTGGCCATCCGCAGCTGTTGAAAACACCTGTGATTTCTTTGTTGGGATCGTAGTGTTTCGATTGATAAGTCGTGTAAATACACCTCCAAGAGTTTCAATTCCAAGGGATAATGGAGTAACATCTAATAGCAATATATCAGTAACTTCACCAGCAAGTACACCACCCTAAAAATTTATTCTATAATCAGCCAATAGAAAATTCATAATTTCCTGATAATTAAACCGAAAAAGGCCACATTACTTGAATTGCAGCACCGATTGCTACTGCTTCATCAGGATTTACACTCTTTGTAGGTTCGCGATTAAACGTTGATTTCACAAGTTCCATAACTTTAGGCATACGCGTCATACCGCCAACTAATATTACTTCACTAATTTCTTTTGTTTCAATTCCGGCATCTTTAAGAGCCTGTTTGCAAGGTGGAATAGTCATCTCAATGAGATCTTTCGTTAAAGTCTCGAAATTTGCGCGAGTCAATTTCATAGTGAGATGTTTGGGACCAGCACTGGTAGCGGTAATAAATGGAAGATTGATATCTGTCTAGATATTTAAATAGATCAAAGTGAGATGATTTAACATATGATCTTTGTGAAAGATAAAGATTTAATTTAATCACTTACTTGAAGCGTTGATGATAATTCAATTTTGGCTTTCTCTGCTGCTTCACGAATACGTTGAATCGCCATTCGATCATTAGATAAATCGACACCTTCCTAATTACAATGAGTTAATAATAATCAAAAAGATAAATATGTAAAATAATTGAGAAGCAAACCTCTTTCTTGAACGATTCAACTATATGTTTAACTAATTTAATGTCAAAATCTTCACCACCCAAGTGAGTATTCCCATTAGTTGACTTGACTTCGAAAACTCCTTTATGAATTTCCAAAATGCTAATATCAAATGTACCACCACCCAAATCATAAACCGCAATGACTTTATCACCAGCTTTATCAAGCCCGTAAGCAAGTGCTGCGGCTGTCGGTTCATTGATAACTCGGAGCACGTTTAAACCTGCGATTTGACCCGCATCTTTTGTAGCTTGACGTTGAGAGTCGTTAAAATATGCGGGTACGGTAACGACTATTCATAATATAATAAATTTAGATATAAAATTTCATCATACTTATTTAATATATAGAAAATTAAATAAGACCCTTACCTGCATTCTTCACGGGTTTTCCCAGATAAGACTCTATAAGGATAATTTATTTAGAATACCCACTACTACGACCATCAAATCATTTGATTCACTATAATATATATATTATGAAATATTAATATCAAATACCTGCTGTTTCCTTCATTTTACCTACTGTAAAACCACCAATTTGAGCAGGACTATATTTTTTACCGCGAGATTCTAACCACGCGTCACTATTTGAATGTTCAATAATTTTATATGGGACATGAGTAATATCTCTTTGTACTTCTTGATCTTTAAATTTACGTCCGATCAACCGTTTAGTAGCGAAAAAAGTATTTTCAGGATTGACCACAGCCTAATGAAAAAAAATTCTTTTAAGTGAAAACTGCGCATAGATATAATAAATTCATAATATATGCGATTCGTTAATATTTGATTTTAACAAATTTCTTATTTTCAATTGATTTATTCACCTGACGTTTAGCAGGTAATCCGACTAACAATTCACCTTCTTTAGTAAAAGCAACTACCGACGGGGTAGTGCGACCACCTTCAGCATTTTCGATCACACGTGGTGTTTTTCCTTCCATAATAGCCACACAACTATTAGTTGTGCCTAAATCAATTCCAATGACCTGCCCTTGTACTTTTGAACTGTTAAATCAAGGAAAGTATTAAAGAAAAAAAGAAGAAAAAAAAGATCATTATACAAAATTTTTTTTTGGTATCATTAGCGAAAATTTGAAAAAAACTATCGAGCATGCCTTAAAGTACGCGGAATAAAGTTCAGTCTATTGGGCTTTGAAAACTGAAAATGGATTTAAAAAATAGAAAAAAAAAAAAAAGGTAAATTTTTTGAAATTCATAATTTTTTTTCATATTACGCGACGGAAACTGAATGGGAAGATTTCATACCGATCTACACCTAACATTCAATGAAGAACGAAAAGGTATACCAAGTCCAAGCCTTGGACTATACATTTTTATTACTTATAGTTGAATGATAAGTAAGTAAAAAAAAAAGAAAAAAAAGGGCGAATCACGAAATCTGACAAGAAATTTTTGTAATTAGGTAGATTATCAGTTGTATTTCTTGAATCACATGATTGTGAAAAAAAGTTTGACGGTAGTCTTTTCCTATGATTTAAGAATATATACAATTTAATAGGACAAAAAAGTTACTTAGGATTTTTACGTAGGTCTTAGTTTAAGGTAGAATTTGCCTTACTTCGTTATAGAAAATTTAGTATTTTTTTTTGACTATCATAGCTATTATACAGTATATATATTTATATAAAGCGATAATATCTAATATATCAGAAATGTTGTATAAAATATAATACGAAATAGATCAATTTTGTAATTATAGCCAACAAGTTTGGTTTTACTGATAAAATAGGACCCTCGCGTCAGTAATTTAAAAAATTTCGCTGATTACCGTTATTAAGTTAGGTTGAAAGAGCCCCGTAATGTTAAAATTTGCAAGGAAAACTTTTTGTTAGCACGCAGAAGGCAGTTTCGTTGGTAAAATGCAGATTATCTTCAGTGTTACAACTGATCTTGAAATTTGATTGGGTGTGATAAATCGCTTTAGCGTTAGTGTCAGGCCGCTCTTGTCAAATCTAACCCTACTTTTTTTTTTGCCATATTTCAAATCCAAGAAACTTTACATGAAAATGTTTTAGTAAATATATAAATAGAATCTATATATTTATTATAAAACATAATATAAAAATCCCAATATTTTAGGATTCAGATGGAATTTCAATGACAGAAAATCCTCCTCCTAAATTTTAGAATCGATGACTCTTTTAATATTAAAATCGAAATCATTGGTAAAAAATTGCTCAATATTTTTGACAATTAAAAAATATATATACCTGTGACCGAAATATTTCGACCATTTCGGCCATTTGGCAAATGTTCAAAGCAAAGTTACCAATAATTTGTAAATGTAAATTAGGCTTCATATATGTTAAGCCAGATCCGCAGAACCTTATGCAAGCCTTTTGGTATTTCAGCAAAACCTTTTGGTATTTCGAAAGACTTTGGCTGTATAATAAGTTCGGATTTCCGAAAATTCCAGTCTGCCGAAATACCAAAGGGGCTTTCATAAATTGAACCTAGGTGTCGCACAAAAAATGCGCGGCAGATCCTCGATTTTGATTGGCTAACGGCCGAAGATATTCGAAATTTTGGTCCGCATTACAAAATTGTTTACTAAATTCCGGCCGGAATTAACTTTTTAATTTTTTTTTTTCACTACAAAAATAGAAATTTTTAAAAAATAAGCACGCATTATGGTAAAATTGACCCAGGAACAATTTTCACTTAATGGGC